CATATGAGCTAATAAGCATTTAAATCAATGTCTGGCACACAATTATCAATAAATGTGAGCTATTGCTATTTCTCAGCAATGCCACATCATAAAAAACTGGTATGCAAGTGTGAATTGCAATTTCCAACTCTTTCCCTAAATTTTGTGGATAATTATTTTTCCTAATATTTATACTTCTAGCCTAATTCTTTCTCCTTCCAGTTGGCACTGGCTTCAGAAAACACCAGACCCGTCTGCACACCAAGTCCCACCTCCCCTTCTTGGGCCCAACACGCATACTGCATGTTCACTTTCTTGAAAGATTTTGCAGACTATCAAGAGCACATTTGGTCTTGGCTCCCTTCGGATGTTACACCCCACCACTCCCTAAGTATTTACTACATTTACCAGAATCTTGCAATTAGAGCATATTCATTTCCTGTTTGGATAACTTTTAGGAGGACTTTATTATCACGCTTGACATACCCAATTTACTTGCTCATTCTAAACCTTAAAACATCTCATCAGGCTTACAAAAACTACACTAAAAATTCCCATAATCTTGTTTTTTAATGAGATTAGAATGAAGTTAAAAAGGGTTATCTTTTGCTTCCCTAGTATACATTAAAAGGCAACCAGTCATGTTCTAGCACGTACCTGTTACCTTTGAAAAGGCTATAAGCTCTGAATTAATAATGCTGTGCCCCTCTTTTGATACAGGAATACTACTCTATTTCCAAAACAGTCCCACTATATCAAATCAGCTTTTTCTAACACAAAGACTCCTAGAACAATCACGATTGATAAAGATTTCCCTTCCTATAGCATATAGCTGAGGATATGAGAACAGTTGTCAGAAGAGAACTGCAAGTCTGAATTCTCATATCTAAGAAACACTAAAATTAAGATCCTGACATTTATAATTTTATATTCTAACAAAGGAAATATGGAGAAATAAGTTAAATAATCTGACATATACCTCTAACCCAGTGAGGAAGGCATAATTGAACAAGTAGCCTGGTGTAATAGCAGAGGGAAGCTAAGTGATAGAGAAAAGAAGATTAAAAAAAAAACACTAAAAAAAGCTGATCGCAGACATAAAATACTATGAGATATGAACTAATTTGAGTTGTAAACTAAAAAACAAACAAAAACACCCAGGAAAGAAGCCTAGCAAGCCAATGAAAGGTACGTGTGAGGGCAGAGAGTGGGTGGCTCTTTCCTACTCTTCTTTTATGCGTATCCTGCCTCCGTACTAAACTGTTCCTGTCCGGGAATTCCACATGTCCAACAGTCAGCTTCATTCTCTGGGATTCTTTTCCCCATTTCTAGCAGTGAGAAATTATTTCACCTGCAATTAATAGAAACCTTGATTTCTGTCACTAGTTATTTTTTCCTGAAGCAATAGGCAGTCCTGGGAAAGGATGAGATTTAGGTTTGATCAGGGGCACAATAAAACAATTATTCAGTCTACACGGTCAGATTCATTCGAAAGCCTAATATCCTGTGGTTATAAGATAATTCTCAACATTTTAAATTAGGACCACATCAAGGTACACGCCCAGGTTTCGGGCTCAATCTCCAGTAGGGGGCGTGCAGGAGGCAGCAGATCAATGACTTCTCATCATTGATGTTTCTCTCTCTCTCTCTCTCCCTCTCCCTTCCTCTCTCTGAAATCAGTAACAATTTTTTTAAAATGAATAAATAAATAAATAAATAAGTAAATAAATTAGGGCCACCTACTTCCAGATGGACAGGAAGAGAACCTCTTCCTCACCAAAGAACCAAGTCCTTCCCCTTGAGATGGTTTGTGTCCATCTCAAACCAGTAACAGTTCCCAGGGAAATGTCTTGCACTGACTGGCCTAGATGAGTCAGGACTAACTTTCGGAACTGGGAATGGAGCTCACTTCCCCATCATATGAACTGCAGGAAAGGAAGTTTCTTGGATAAAATGAGAGTTCTGGTACAAGGAAAGAAAGAAATCAATGTGCAACAGGCCATCAATACAGTGCATCGCATTTCTCTCCCACTCTACACCGACTGGGTACCTAGTGCTAAACGCCTTGGTTCATTACTAATGGTATGCTTTACCGGCCTGTAACACTACTTATACTTTTGGGTAAGTAGGCTGCTGCTGTGAGGAAATGGATAATTAAAGATGAAGTTAATGATGCTAAAGGTATTTCCTAGCTGGACTCAGGACCATTATGTTGACCTACAGTTATGCACACAGGTACTTTGTCCAGTGTAGCTTCTCACAAGTGCAGCACAGGAAAAATCTCAACAGTGCAGGCTCAGAAGGTGTCTGATCTTCTGGCCTTATGAACATTCATTACCTGAATACTGCCTGCTACCCTATTGAATAAAAAGCCAACAGGATTATCGAAATAAGCTCCTAGAAAGTGGCCAGACCATTAGCACTGTGAAGATACTCAACACAACAAGATAGGGCTATTTGGTTAAGGCAGTAAGCAATTCAAGTTACAGATCAAGGGAACTCTAAAAGGGAAAACAGAACAAACCATTGAAGGATTCAATTAAGTACACTGTTTATGGATCAACATTCTTTCCTTTGCACCATACTGTCTTTAGCAGTAAAAGCCTAAAATTCTCTAGATGTGGTTATCCAAGAAAGAGCTTTCACTCATTCCATGAGAATGGAAACAGATGTTTTTACAAGTTTGAGTACAAGGAAGAAAAAGGATACCTCTCAATATCTGATACTGTTCAACTTTTAGGCAGAATAAAAGGAAGGAAAGGAAGGGGGAGGG